CCCCCCCCCCAATCGAAATCCTTGCTACGGGCCTGGGTCTAGGGGACTATGGCATGGGAGCACTAAATATCTCCAGTTGCAATTTTCTTATAAGTTAGAATGCTATATATGTTATAACAGAGTTGGTATCTGAAAGCAACGGGGTAGTGTAAAATTGTCCTGAGCACCCGGGTGTTTGTATAGCAATGGTGAGATAAATCTAATTTGAATGTCTCTGTAAAACAGGCACTGGAGGAGCACATATTCAGTTGTTTCTCTCTGTCCAGAGTCCCAGGAGCAGAGTCTCTCTGGGTAGGGGGTCTTCCAATATTGACCCTCAAGTACAGCTGATGGAAGGACATGACCTCATGCCAGGGTCAAGGCCCTCCGATGGTTGGGAATCTCTAGATTTGTTAAGTATGCCATAGGAGAAGTGGGGTATCTACTGGCTTCACTGATTATAAATGTTGGGGCGCTAGCTAGATCCAGTCGACTTTCTGTGTCTGAAATGAGTGCTTAGGCTTGATCGTATTCCATACCCAGACAATTTTAATAATGATTTTTTATTTTTGTTTGTGTGTTTTGATGTATATTTTGTGGAAATATATTTTAATATTAATATGTGTATTCTATGGAGTAGTTTTAAATGATTACGTGTTTTGATTATGCATTTTAGCAGTGTTGTAACCCACCTCAAGTTGTGAGGAGAGGTGGGGGAGAAATAAAAATTATATTATTATTATTATTATTATTATTATTATTATTATTATTATTATTATTGGTAGCAACCCTGGAGAAAAGCCCAGGGTTGAGATTTTAGTTGCTGCTGCCTGTTTTGATGTGGACTGGAAGTCAACCCTCATAGTAAATAGGAAAAGACCAAGGGGAGAAAGGGATAATCTCGGCCAGTAGTTGAGTATGATGCCTTAACTTAACTTTTAACTTAATCAAGTTTTAATTGTGTTTTAATGTATGTTCACTATTACAGAAGTTTTAGGACAGTGATTGGTGTCTATTTATGTATTTTCTTGTTTTTTGCCTTTTACTGTTATATAGGAATAATTACAGAAAAGTACAAAACAGAACTCTGTGAACTAATCAATAAACTTTACTGACTTGTGAGTATGATGCCACACCTTGGTGTTCACTTTCAAGAAATCTGTCTCTAGCCGCAGGATGGCATTAGAGACACACTTTGGTACTTGCAGTACCAGTCTTAGACATTTTGATTGTACAAGTACTAGTGGGGCAAAATTGGAGAAGTGGTCTAGCTGGGCTCCATACAGGAGTTATGCTACAGGTTTGGCTTAAATTAGTTTGAGAGTTTCATGTATGAAGTGAACTTCTCTTGACTTGAGATATTTTAGAATGAGCAAAGAAGTTGAGCTTCTTTGCTCAGCCACGTAGTCTCCCTGGACTTTTCTGCTACTGCTAGAGTGCAGAACTACTCCCAGGTATTTGAAACATGGAACCTGCTCATCCAATAAATAAGGGTGAGTCAAAATTACCTACTCTCTGCCTGTGGAATTTATTTTAATCAACTTTCAGAGAAGACAAATACATCAGTTTATAACATAATCTCCCTGCTTTTCAATACATTTTGTCTTATCTGTCAACAAGCTTTCATTTTCTCTCATTAAAATGTTTTAGGCTGAGCTGAGAGTCACAAGTGCACCACTGTCTTCACCTCTTCATCAAACATTAATCATCACCTCTGGAATATTGTCCAGTTGAACCCAAGACCTCAGCCTCAATTTCCATAATCTCCTCACAATGGGCTAGGAGACAGAGGAGAAATTTTCAATGGGTGTACATCAGAGTGTTTACTGCCCCACCGATGAGATCAAAGTTATATGTGGAAAAGCAACTGGCACCCATGCCTCAAACCAGCTTCACCCACTGAAATGGTTATCACCCAAAGTATCCATTGTGTAGACTAGACATTCTATTGTGCCCACCAGAACTAACCCATTAAGCCCATCACAGACTCTTTTGCATATTGCCACACCATATTCCTTTCCAAAGCACCTCTCTCAGAGGTGGACCATTAAACAGATGGACACTCCAATGACAGTTTATTGAATTTCCCAAGAACCAATCAGCAGGCCGCTCCACTGATTTTTCATCCAACTGGAGCACGAATCCTAGCTGGACTGTTTTCAACCAGTCAGGAGCTGGTGCAGGTTTCTTGAATGGCAGTTGGATGAAACAAAAATACTCTGTATTATGAATTATGGTGTGTCAGTGTTTGGAAGCACAGACTCATCTGACATCTTTTTTGGCCAGGAAGAATAAAAACCTCTGCTTTTGCCATCTAAAGTGTCCTGATTTGGCCTTCTGGAGTAGTTAGATGTACTAGTCTTCCGAACCATGATTTTGTGGTAGCTGAAATTACTCAACACTATGGTTTTGGGGGTGGTAGGAGTGATAATACCCCTTTAAGTTCTGTGATTTGTTAGGAAATCTCCCAATCCTTTCAGGCAATAATCTGGATAATGCCTGGGTGCATGGCTCCTCAAATCTCCCAGTCTTACTGCAAGCAGAAATTCCTGCTTTGTACATAATGCATAGTGAGAAGCCACACTTCTAGAGATTAGAGTTGTGCACGGAATTTGTTCCTACTATTTCTACCGTTTCTTTTGTGTCTTCCATTTCTTCAGGAGCACAAAATGGGAAACCCCCTCCCCACACGAAAATCTTCTCAACATGAAAGCCTGCTTCCATGT